ACGCGACTAACACTACGGCCGTCAGCGAGAGCGCCCACCTGCATACTGTTCGGCGAAGAGCCGCTGTTGGACGCGTCTCACGAAGCCGACGAGGTTGGGGTGCGCCTTGAGCAGCGTCTGCAGGCGGTGACTGGGGAGCGGCGAGCGCAGCAGCGGCGCCAGGTAGCCGAAAACACGCGCGTCCAGCGAGCTCGGCGCGGCGCCCAGGAACCAGTCGCGCTCGCCCAGCTGCTCCGACAACGACGCAAAACACGCACCGGCACATCCGCGCACCAGCCGGTCAGCCGGCGCAGCCGGCACACCTGCGCACCAGCCGGTGACGACAGCTGACTGACCAGCAGAGGCACAGCGCCGGGTCCAGTCGATCCCGCAGCAAGTTGGTGAACGCCAGCGGGTCGGCGCACTGGCGAGCCGACAGCTCAAAGTCTAGGTTGAAGTTCTGCGGAGGAGACGGGGAGCCGGTGCAGTGATGACCGTCGATGCATCCTCAGCATTTGAGAGGGGATGCGAGGGGCGTACGCAGCGATACACGGCCGTCGCTGGTCTGCTTGGTCTAGTGTCCTCCGGTGTCGTTCAAGTTCAGGCGTTTTCGCAACCGCATCAAAAGACCGCATCGAAACTCTGCGAAATGCCCGCCTGTTTTACCTTCTTTTTCATGTGGACCATTATGTATTCAAAGAGCAGAGCTTCACGTCGCCATCGTGCAGCACTGGGTAGTCACGGTTGGGAGACCTCAGAGGGTTGCTGGCCTCCGTCACCTGGACTCTGTGCGCATATCTTCAGGAATGTCTGATCATAAGCAGATGCATCACACGAGGTCAGCGTCAAAGGAAGAGAGGTCCAGAACACAGTGCATGTGTGGTTTTCATGGACGATTGCAGCCAGGTATGCAGTGTTTTATGGAATCTCTGGTGAATGGAGACAGCTCAGCAGCGTCTACATAAATAGTTAACATGGTATTCCTAAATGGTAATTACACCACAGACAATGATTGACAATGTACGCTTTTGACAATATGTTGTAATTAGCCCAGGCTAATGATGCTAAAAGGCACATCGCACTAACCAGTTATTGAGAGCTGTTCAATAATGCTGTTACCATAGCCTCCACGCACTTGGAGTCAATGGATGGGATACCCCAATCCCCAGCCCAAACCTTCAAATTCATTCCAGCCATGCTTCTGGATTTCTGAAGCAAACAGCATTTACTGAAAAAGAAGAAACCATGACATTCAGGGACCATAACATGAGGCATCGAACAAGCTTCAGTAGTATTAACCTTGTTTCTCGGAGAAAACCAGGAGAGTGGGGACACAGAACGGTTGATATTTCCGCCACATGCCTTTACTGAAACAAAAGGAGAAGTGAATGAAACAGCAAATGAAAAGAATGAAACCACAGTTGTCTTTTTGCGGGGCACCAACATTCAGGGGATTAAACAAAGAGCGGCTGCCATTCGTTACCACGATACAGTGCCATCTATGGGTGAGAATGCGCGAACATACGTGTACATGTAAACGAATTCAAACAAATAGGCATCACGCATCGCGGTTCACTCAAATATGCAAGCGAATTGAAGTAAACGGGCATCACACATCGTGCATCAATTATACATGCAGGCGATTTCAATTGAACAGGCATCGCACATCACGCGTCAGGCATCGCTTACACATGTAAACGATTGAAAGCTAGCACATATCACACACAAAGGCACATATCACGTTCGCATAATCGGCCATGATGAGCCCTGTATGTTTAAGATTTGGTCGCCGACTTTTTATACGAATAGATCCACTTATTTTCTTGTCTGGGTGGTCCTGTGCTCTGTGGATGACTTTAAGCTCTAAAGGGGCGCAGGGTCCATACATCCTCGGTTTCAGCCTGTGCGTATTTTGCCAAAAATCGGTTACCGAAAGGGTTATTCCCTGTTTGGTTTTTAGCGTGTTATGGAACGGTACGTATTCTACGTCGGGGAGTTCCACGACTTGTTCGTTTGAGATGTAATGAAAACCCGCGACACGCGGTGAATTTATTTTCGCTCGGAAAGTCGATGCGGTAGATTCATCCTCAATTCACAATGACCCTTCAGGTCACTTTCGGTTAAGCTTGGTCATGAAATTTACCAACATACTAGTTCGATCCAATAAAAAACACAAAGTTTTGCGGACCGCCATCAGCGAGCCGATATATGTCTTATTTCCGTTCATGCGTATGTAGGTTACTGTAGAACGTAGTGCTGAACCTTAATTTGAGTTAGCGCGAAAAGAATACTGGTCAACGGATCTTCTCGTGGTAAAACATAGATAATGGGGAACGTTAAAAGGAGTCTGAACTTTTTAAAGTTTTGAAACAATTCAATTTTGGATCGAGCCTCAGCAAAAAAAAACTGACTTTTGCGTAGCGCTGTTGGAAAACGTTTTTTTTTTCGTGTACCACATACGTAACAGAGCCTAGGGGGCTTACAGCCGGCGCTCCGATATGCACATTATTGGTTGCAATGTACCCGGCCCAGAGTAACGTGAGTGGCGTTTCATGTTGATATGATCATATTGGAGACGGGTGACCGGCCCCGGATAATAACAAGCGTCAGACATGTACTGTAATCCAGTGTCGTGAGGCTGGAACCCCGCAGCGTGATACGGTTGGCTTATTTTGAACATAAGGAATCTCATGCGTCTCACATACGGGCGCAGACAGGGGAGGGGGAAGCAGGCACAAGGAGCGCGTGACCCCTTCGTTCCCTCGGGCTCCAGAGGGTCCCTCGGCATTGACAATCAAAGGCGCGATTACAGGGCTCGAAGTGCTGAAGGGCTGGCCGGGGGTCTCCAGTCCGAAGGATCGGGGCCCTCTGATGTCAATCAGAGGGCCTCTGGCGGTGAAAGGGACCCCTATGGAAAAAGCCCCTCACTTCGGTCGAGATCACCAGCAATCGGCCCTTTGTCAGACTGAGGCCCATTCTCCAAGCATGGACAAGGTCTTGGCCCGCGAATGACATTGAGAAAACCTCGCAAGTCGCATTGGTCGGGGTTTCCTTGTCGAACAGGATGTCCTCTGACCACCAATTGGTGTCCATCACAGCCCACCACATGTCTTCGCCGTTGCTTCGGGCTCTCTGAGAACGACAGAAGATTGTTAGCAGCGAAAGCGTGCATAGTGAGTAAATAAGGCAGTTGAAGGGCTCCGATTCTCACAGGAGGCCTCAGTAACGAACGAGAGCCCTCTACCCCGCCTCGACCAATGGCTCGTTGAGTGGAACTGGGTCCCCTGTGCAAATTATTGGAGTCTCTGTACCCGTAAGTGATCCTTTTGCGTCAGTGAAAGCCACTGCGTCAATCCAGCTGCGGCTGCTCCGGCCAGAAGACAGCCTGCGTTGGGGAGGGAACCGGTACACTTCACATTCCCGGTGGGCCTCCGAATGCACCAAGGGGCCCAATCCCCATGTTGTGAGATGGCAGCTGGTGCATACCTCGGGCTGGGATGAAAAGGTTTTTAGTAGCCACTGACCGGGAAAGATAATACCCCCGCCCCCCTCCCCCCCCCCCCCTCCTCTGATGTGCTACCATCTGCTAGTGTAGGGTAGTGTGCTATGCAACAGTATATCTACCATTCTGGTATACTACCCACGCCCTCCCTCGTCCCGTATATCCGGGGGTCTCTTAAGTTTGTTAAATCCATTGATGTTCTCTAAGAGCGCAAACGCCGGCAGACCCGGATAAAGTCCGAAAAAGTTTTGAGGATTTTTAGCAGGAGCCTTTATCGTGCTATATGCTCGCATTCCAAACTTACTGAGACTCTTCTCTAAACCACTACATTAGTCTCCAACGCTTCTATTTTTCTCTCAGTGTCCTCCTCAAAACAATCCCTCTTTATAGTTCCACACAGCCCCAAGCTTCGTTGTGTTCTCTAAAATTTCACGAAAACTCCACATCTGTTTCCGCTGTGTAGTTTTCGATGTCACCTTCTTTCAGACACAACGTAAATGCACTTAAAAACATAATGCGCCGTGCGTCACGGCATTCGTTAGTAATCATGCTTCACAATCAGTTCACATGGAATGCTGCATAGACCGTGCCGGCAACAAAATACACTTAAATGACCAAACACAAGTTGCATCTCTGAGCAGACTACATACGGTCCACCACATTTTTCTGAACAGGAAACATGCCAACAAACGTGGCCTGGCGGAGGAGATCGCTATGCCATGCCAAAGCTCCCAGCATCGCACTTGAGAAAAATGGGCGGTTCCATAGCACAGCTGATGCTCTGTGACGGTTCTTGATGTGCAACAATGGAGCCAGTGCCGTCACAATGACTCGGCTGCAGAGCATCCACGCTATACCCAGCGATCTGTCCCTGTAGTCGCTTTTCCGAAAGAGGCGGCACCTGCTACATCTCGTCCCGCTGTGCCTGCGGGCTGCCGGAACCAGACTTTGAAACTTACAGGCACTAATAATTCTAAGATTTGTCAAGAACTGATTTGGCAGAATTTACGCAGCCTTTAATCGTGATACCTTGAAGGCGACGATGATGAGCCGAACACGGTGAAGCTACGTTGGAGCTGGTGATATAGTGCTGTTACTGAAAACACCGCGCCTGATCTGTAGGCACGACGACAGGGCCGGCCACGACGGAGCACGTGAACGGAGGAGCCCGTGCACCTGAAAAACATTCAAATGCATATGAAATTCTAAGAGTGAAAGCGGGAAGACCTAACAGGACGGCACGCTCGGCAGACAAAGCCACGGTAAACGTGAGTTTACTTTTAATTGAACTTGGGACATTCCTTCTACTGTCTACACCATAAATATTTTCACATCTTAATATGACTTCTAAGCGGATAGCTTAGCCCGCCCATGACTTACGATGTAAAAGGCTTTGATAACCCACAATTTTTGCCCACTTTGCTAACCGTGAGAATATTGGGGTAAAATAAAATGCTGCAGCTTGCGCCGTCGTGGCAAACACAAGATTCTCAACCATGGTCTGTCTAGTCCTCCAGCCAGGGCCGTTCACACCACATGAGACTACCTACCTTAGATTACCATTACACGTCACATGAGGCGAAATTCGTGCTGAGATAAAACGCTTTGGCACACCCACTTGGGACAATTAACGCGGAAAATGAGAGCAATAAATAAGTCAAACATAACCCTCCAAGACAATGACTTTTTACAACACGTGATCGGAGAAGCAGGACAGTTGCATCAGATGAACTGGCCTAAATTGACATGGCCTTTGCCTGAACTGACATGACTCTTCAAAATTCTGCTTTTATGGTATGACCCTAACGGAGAAGAAAACGCTCATTCGTTTCACCTAGTTACACAGCTCTACGGCCAATATTGATGGTATAATTGCTTTGATATTGGTTTGAAAACAGTGGTTTCAAGTGCTCTGAGGTCACCGAAGACTTCGATGCTTTCCAAGGTAACCTGCACCGCCTGTAACATCGTCACGCATGTCATATGCGTCACTCAATGCCTGGGTGAAGTTCCCGGGATAACCAATGTTTGAATTTTTATTAGCCCGTTAGATCCTTAGGTATCATAGGCACAACGTACTGCTGGCGCTGGAGCGTAACGGGCTGCGTATTTTGGAGATAAATTTCGAACAAACCACCTGGTATGAATGCACTTTTTTCCCATTGTGCTTTCAGGC